CCCTAAACCCTAAACCTCGAACAAGAAGCGGCTCTCGATTCCGCACACCTACACACACCTTAGGGCCCACAATCGCAGTGTGACCGGAACTGATGTGTAACTGAATGAACACGTGTGCCCCGTTCCGTCTGCCTTTGAAGACTTCAAAACCTGGAAGCATTGGCCTCTCAACCTGATCGAATACGTGGCCCCGAATATCTCACCACTGAACACGTGAATGTCTGATGGACAAGATCCTGCATCACCTTAGCTACTCTAGGCTATTGGAATGGTAAGATATTCTGTCTGATGGACAATGCAGAATCATAATTTGATCCATCAGCCGCAATTCATTCAGGACCGCACGCAGAAGAGCAAAATATTGAACTTCAAAGCCGGTCAGGAGTTTAGGGTTTAGGGTTTAGGGAGGAGCAAGAGCACCAACCCCAAGTTTAACTCCAAAACAACAACCCCCTAAACCCTATACCCCAATCGTAGAACCCTAAACCGTGAGAGTCCCAACACCAAAATAGAGCCCTTCTTAAACCCACGCACGGCCTTAACAAACCCCCAAACCCCCCCCCCCCCCCCCATTGCTTGCAAATCACCTCTGGCCACTGGTACATCGCCATCAGCGGAAGGCGAAATGCAGGGATCTGCGCTGCAGCTTCCTGAGGTCATCCCAAGGAGCACTTTAGGGCTCCTTCAGGGTTTAGGGCGTTTGGGGGTTGGCAAGGTAGGGCTGAAGAATGTGGGATCGGTTTTGGTCCTTTCAGGGGTACTACAGACGTTGCACAAGGGTTACTATAGCAGGGCTCTACCAGGGGCGCTGCAGCTTCCTGTAGCAGCGTGATTGGGGGTGTCAGGCATCGGGCTTGGGTCCTGTTAACACTCTTGCGGATACAAATACATCCTCATACCAATACCGAGATTAATACTAATACTCATATTAATGCTAGCTACGAGTACGGTTACCAATGCTACAATGTTGAGCAAACTTACGGACAAGAGTTTGAGGAGCTCGGGTGGAGCATTTCGGCATGACTCTGGGGGGGGCGACCGTATGGGCTGTAGGACTTCCCGGAGGGCTCCTTGTACCTAAATAGTCTATACTTAGGCCTGAAAGTACCTGCATATAGGAACCCCCTCCCCTCAAGGGCGAATAATAAACTATATATATATATAGGCACATGGTGCCGCAGGGTTGGAGTACAATGGATTTCAATGATGAGTTCCGGATGTCACGTGTCAGATTCGGTGAGGCTCCGATTCTGCATAGGCTTGGCACTTCACATTTCCGAGCCCGAACCTCTTGGGTAGTTCTCTAAATTAGGGTCCCTTTTAGTGTCCGTTTTATAAGAGTGCCGTACTATATTGGGGACCCAAAAAGGGACCCTAATTTAGATAACTAAGCTCTTTCAAGGCTTCAGTGCAGAATCCCAAGCCACCCTGCAGTTTCCGTGTGGTGCCGGTATTGAGGGCTGAGTCTTTCAAGTGGAGTGGCCTGGGAAATTATACTTCAATTGCTGTTGCTCACATTCCTCATTGCACAAAACCAGGCGTTCTCTTTACTTCGTCCAGAGTTACGGGATAATCATGAAACCCTAGAAGCCGCAAACCCTAAACCCCTAAACCCTAAACTCCTGAAGCCCGAAACCCCAAAAGGCCTAAAGCCCTACCTAAACCCTGAACCCTAAACCCCATTCCCAGCCTCGGGCGTGAGCGTGGACAGGTAGAGGGGGCTGTGACCCGCGAGGACCAGATGTGGCACCTTAAATAAAGGTGCCTTAATAGTTTGAATAGGGTTTTGGGGGGGGTAGATTATACTATAATGATATATCACTATAAGTATATTAATAAAGGGGCCTTGATAATTTGAATAGGGTTTTGGGGTATATTCTACTATAACATCTACCCATAGGCCCCATAGTAGTTCCTTTTTGTGGTTTATATTTCGGATCCTAGTAGTAAATCCCCAAAAGGAACTATTATGGAGCCTATGCGTATCATTATAAATATTAATACGGAGCCCCAAACATAGTACAGGGAATTGTTCAGGGCCCCTATATTACCAGGCCCACATCGCGAAAGGGCTCCCGACTGAGAGATCCTGTTGAGGGCTTTGAGGGATCCTCAGTTTTCTCCCAGTCCCTTTTAGGGCTTAGGGTTTTTTTCTCTTAGGGTTTAGGGTTTACGGTTTAGGGGTTTACTTAATAAGTTAAATTCTTATAGGGCTGGCTACGGAATTTTAAGCGTTTGTGTCTACAGGTTCCTGTAGAATCAAGATCCTCGACGTAGGAGGTTCCCTATTTCCGAAAATTCCACAAAGGAGCCTCAAGAAGCTTCGAGGCTTCCTGAGGTTTAGGGTTTAGGGCTTCGGGCTTATATAGGGGCCTTAATAATTAGACTAGGGTTTTGGGGCCCATTATACTTATACTCAGGAACCCCCCCAAAATAGCGTAGGTAATTATTTAGGCCCCTATGTTAGACTGAAGCCTTGACATCGAAATTTCCGTAAACCTGAACCCATCTATAGAGTCTAGGTTCCCCAGTAGTCCCTAAATAATATGGGTACCCTTTTCCTACTATTTGGTTTCATTGAGGAAACCCAAAAAGAAAAGGGCAACAGGGTACTACTGGG